GCAAATCATGAAAGACACTAATAAGAGCATTTTGTTATCACTTTTAGCATTAAAACTACACAAGAAGGTGATTATTTAAGGTGTAATTATAGTCAAATTCACCTATTATCAACACCCCACACTTAAACCTTTGCTCGTCCTCGAGCAAACTAAACCACACTTCTAGGCCTAACTGCTCAATGCATTGCCCCAATTTATGTCACACCTGCTATTATCAATGATCGACCTAAGCAGTGCACAATCATATTTCAAATGCAGACTCTCATGCCAAGACACACTTGTGCTCACTCTAATTACTCTAACAGAAGTGAAGACTCACTTTTTCTTCCTGAGTCACATGCCCTCACATAAACAAAATCTGAGAGAAGTTCCACACACATATAAAATTTAACAACAAGGAACCATATATAGAAAGAATTCACTCACTCTCAGCAAAGAGCATTCACATGCCACACAGACACACCATAAGCTTGCCCCTAGTGTAATACTCCACTAATCGAGCCATTCAGTCAAAGATCAATATGTCTTTATAGGTTGTAATGTAGGCTAAGGGACGGGTAGGATATATTTGGATATAGTGACTAACCTCCCTAAGCACTTTTAATACACACTTCCTTTTATTTCACCTTCATGTTCAACCCAATCAGTATTCCACATTTTGTTTCACTTGTGACCCCCACTTTTCTTTAGGTACAACTGGCTTCTTCTTCTTCTTTTTTTTTTTAGATTTACTGTACACTGCCAGTTCACCAATCAGAACCTTCATTCTCGATTCCCTTTTTTCACTAACTCTCTCCCACCCCACACTTTGACTTTTGTATATTCTTTAGTGATTCAAGTGCTTCTAGGAGGTAAAGGTTCAAACAATTAGCTTATTCAAACACAACAATTTAGATCATTATAGGGTTATCAAAGAACAGGCTTCAGGCTCAAAAGGGTTAACTATGGTAATATGCACAGGTGGATTCTCAAGTATAGAGGGTTGCACAAAGAAATGCCTCAATCATCTCTAAAATCAAACGACTTCTATTTCGCTTTGCACACACACAGGGCAAGTTCTAGGTATCATATGCAAGCATAGGATGCAAGTAACAACTCACACACACTTATCATGTAACTCATTCTGAATCAGTTCATCAACACAATCATACGAGTGTTCAAGCCAGGCAAGATGTGCAAACTTAAGGCATATATTATGAGTCCACAAACAAGCTAAGACATCGCACCCTCAGTTCGTTGTTTTTTTCAAGTGTGCACATTTGGGGTTACATTCTGACCTTCACCCATCTAATCCTAAAACTACAAAAGAAAAATTTACCTAACCCGGTTCAAGAAAAACCCTTGGAAAAGAACCGTGGTCCAAAGAAAAACCAAGGGGGAGGTACTACACTACCTAAAAGAAGAAAATAAAATAGAAAAAAATTCTACATGGACTACTTCCCTCAAGAGTACTGTCCACCTAGTCCATCATCAGGAAGAGTCCTCTACAAGTTTTTTTTTTTTTTTATATATATCTGACTTTGACCCTCAAGAGACCCGTCAACAAGTGTCCGTCGTTGGGCCAAGTCAGCTACTCCTAATATAACACACTCACATATATACAACACATCACTCTAATGCTACAACACAACAACATCTATATACATTACAATACACAGTTAGAGCAAGTCTCCCACCCTACACTTAAAATCATGGCATGTCCCCATGTCATATCAAGAAAGTAAAGAGCAGAAGGGTTAGAAGACTTCCCTGAGACTCAATCCGAGTCGGAGACGGTGTTGGGGTCTACATGGCAGGCCCTCCCCAATGCACGTAACCAGGCCATAAACCGGCTCTCAGATCTAGCCTGCCTCTGCGACATGGCGTCCATCCGCGTGTGTAGGCCATCCACCGAGGTGCGGAGATCCACGACCTCTTCCTCCAAGGAGCGCAGCATAGGCCGGGAGGACTGTGAGCGTGATAGGCCTGCTCCAGAATGGGGGCGCCGAGAGGGCCCGACACTGTCAACAGACCTCCTGGACGGTGCAAAAGGAACCGGATCATCCTCCTCATCATCTATCTCAATTGTGGTGCGTGTACCCCTGCCCACTCTGATGCTAGAAGCTTTGAAAACTGCTTTGGGAGGCAAATCTCCATCTGTAGGATTGGTGGGGGTGTTTCTCATCAAGCACAATATGGTTACCAAGGAAGGGAAATAGAATCCCTTTGTCAGCAGCGGTCCCCGTAAGACCATTTCATCACCAATTATCCGGGCCGCATCAGCAGCGGTCCCCGTAAGCACCAAGTCAACAGTGCCCTATTGAAGTTCACGTCCGTGGTATTGCTGGATGGCAGGAACCTGCTACAGATAACAGTCAACCAACACTTGGCCAAGTGGGTGAAAGAGTTAGAGTTGAGGGTTATTTGGTCACGTATCCAAATGGGCTGCCCCCCTGTGCAAAGTACATCCGTCATGACCACCCATGTCACCCC